CTGCTGGGCTCCGGCGATCCTTCCGCCTCAGCTTTCCAAGTAGCTGGAACTACAGGTGCACGCTACCACGCCCAGCTAATCTTTTGATTTGTTGTAGAGATGAGGTCTCGTCAAGTTGCCCAGGTGGGTCTCGAACCTGCGGGCTCAGGCAATCCACTCACCTCGGCCTCCCAAAGTGCTGGGATTACAGGCTGAGCCACCAAGCCCGGCCAGGTATTCTAAGTTACTGATTCTTAGAAGAAAAGATAGATATCCAATTGTGAAGAAAACAGCTGAGAAGACTGATTTTTTTTTTTTTTTTTGAGTTGGAGTCTCACTCTGTCGCCCAGACTGGAGTGCAGTGGCCGCTCCCGGCCACCGCAGCCTCAACCTGCTGGGCTCCGGCGATCCTTCCGCCTCAGCCTTCCAAGTAGCCGGAATTACAGGCATGCGCTACCACGCCCAGCTGATTTTTTTTTTTTGTTTTGATTTATTGTAGAGATGAGGTCTTGCTGCCCAGGCGGGTCTCGAACCCGCGGGCTCAGGCAATCCACTCACCTCAGCCTCCCAAAAGCACGGGATTACAGGCTGAGCCACCGAGCCCGGCTGAGAAGACTGTTTTTTGTGGAATAAAACCACTTCTATCTCTCCTGCACCATTTATTTTACCAAAGTACTCACTGTAATTTTGAACCAGTTCTTTGAGGTCCCATCCTGGCTGGTACCAGCTCCTCCTCTCTCTGGGGGAGCTCTGTCTCTCCGCACAGTTACATGAATTCGATCTCGATCATGCCAAGTATCACCCCGACGGTTAGGTCGGTTAGCATAGGGGTTGCTGCGGGGAAGCAGAGAAAGAAATGTCCTTAAATGCTTGGAAAGTCTTTTGAAAGACTTTTCTTGCACTGTTAGTCGAATTACAACCAAGACTATTCAATTGTTAAGCTTGTCCTGGCATTTCTCACTCTTCTGGGCGGGAAGAAAAATAACATGGACAGCAAGATAACCATATAATCTCATGGGCCACTAAATTAAAACCAGACCAATTGGTCACTTACTATCGTACTCGGGGACCATCCTGGGCATCACTCATTGCAACATCTCCATCATCTTCCTCAAGGCGAGAAGACCGAATACCAGAACCGCCTCTTCCAGACCGACGGTTCCCTTCACCATACTTCCACCTGAAAGGACCTCGACCTTTCTTCCTTCGTTGAGGGAAACTAACACGATCATCGTGCTCTGCAGTTAGGAAACAGGAACACAGAAGTATGTCACTGGTCCCACTACCTCGGTGTGGTAGTCACAGTTTCTAGCACCCTGCACTATTGGAAGAGATATACACTATCTACGGAGACCATCTCCATGCAAACTCCTTTGCCTGTCCAGAGGAAAGAGGCCTCTCTGGGAGAGGCCAGCATCAGGGAAAAGTTGTTGGAAAACTCTGTAGGGCTTTTGAAAAATGAAGCAGAAACTGGAACTGCAGAGAAGAGAAACAGAATGTAGAAGTGTGAGCAATGCAAAAGTGTAAACGAACACAAATCAGACTTCTGAAAGCCACCTGAAATATGACCAATCTAAGGACTTCCTAAAAAAACAAAACAAAAAAACAACCTTGTTCTCAAATTGCCACTCTGAAGTTTTGTGAGGTGCTCTTTGTTTCCTTGGTCAGAAATGCCGTTTAACTCAGAAAACGACTTCTAGACTTAAGGCTCTATTGGCAGCACCAGGCTAGAATGCTTAAGAAAGCGCCCTGGAAAGCTCTCTAGGAATATGACTTCCCGACTCCTGCTGTATATGTAGCAGTGGCTTCTTAAAACCAAAAAGTCCATAGCTTCCAGAAAAGGTCCCTAATGCCTAGTACTCTCTGCAAACAATGGACCGCAACAAATGACCCTAGGAAAAAAGAACACAGAACACTCAGCTAACATTTACTAACAACTTTCTCCAGTGCCGGCCACTGTGCTCAGGCACTTGGTAGGAACGATTTAATTTTAACACTAACACACACACACACACACACCACACACACACACACGGGAAACAGGTACTGTTGCTATCCACCTGAAGGGTTGAAAATGAGGTCTGAGAGTTTAACTCATAATTCAAACCTCGGCTGTCATGCACTCCTAAGCACTACAGTGTACTAACACTCAGGATAGCGTTCAGACTAGAACATCTAGTTGGGGTGTAGGTCCAGACTGAGGGCGGGGGGCGGGGTTAACACCGACTGGACGTGGTAAAAAATGGGGCACCAGGGCAGCCCACGAGCGGGGCACAGACTCACATTAAAGGGAGATTCAAGCAGCCAAACTGAACTGACAGGCATCAACCACCCACAAAGTTCAAAGGAATCTCGTCGCCCCACCGCCGAGCCACCCGCTCTGCGCCGCAGGCCCTCCCAACAACAGGATTCCCTAGTCAACAACTCGAGCGTTCCCCTAGAGCTCGGCTGGTCCCCCAGGGCTGCCTCGCCCCCG